TCTTGATACAGGAAGAATTGAAGAGAATACCACCTGCGCTCCAAACTCCTTCACCCGTACTCCCAGAGCCCTGTAGTCACTCTTGAACTGCTCAGTGTCACACCGCGCAGTATCATTTCTGCCCACATGGATGAGTAGCATGGGGTAGTAGTCAGAGGGCTGGATAATCCTCGACAATGCCTCTGTAACGTCTCAGATACGGGCTCCCGGCAGGCAGCATACCTCCCGAGATGAAATGTCAGGGCGACAGATGGGCGCCTCTGTCCCCCTCAGCAGAGAGTTTCCGACCACCACTACCCTACGTTTCCTATTCGCAGTGGTGGCAGCAGACCTCCCAGCCTTAGGGGTACGAGGCTTCTCCTCCTTTACTGTAGGGAGTGATTCCTTCTTTCCTGTATCAAGAAGAGCATAACGGTTACCTATTACCACGGCAGGAGGGTTCGGAGCAGGGGTGGAGCACTGCCTGCTGCCAGAAGTAACCAGCTGCCAGTGTCCACCCTGAGCCATCTCCTCCTCCACCAGTGGTGTATCAGCAGTCCTGTGTACTGGGACAGCTACCTCAGCTGTCTCCACATGGACACTGTCGAGGAATTGCTCGTGGAAATATCTCCATTAATTTATTTTTATTTATTTTTTATTTATTTAAAATCATTGCGGTCACCATTTTGGATTTCTAGCTATAAACTAGCAATATTTATTACTTATCACAAAGCCTTAAATCTCAAACGAACTACATTTCTATGCATGTTTAAGCATTATGATACGGTCACCACCTTTTGTTATGTTAACTGGGGGAGGTGATTTCTGTGATGTTTTCTGCCCTTCTTTGTCTGTTTACAGTTGCATGGCCTGACTGCTTTCCATGGTATTGTTCCTTACACAGCATAGAGCGTCTTGTATCACCGTCTCAACCGGTATCTCAAAAACTTAAAGTTCTGCATGGTTTTCTTGGCTTCCATCATTCCCTCACTGGATCCCTGGGACTGGTATGCTGCCCTCGATCTAAAAGATGCTTACTTCCACATCTTGATCTTTTGTGGCCACAGATGTTTCCTAAGGTTCATAGTGAACTAAAGTCTGCATCAGTTCACAGTGCTCCTGTTCAGCCTCTCAGCTGCCCCGTGAGTTTTCACCAAGTGTAGGGCAGTGGTGGCAGCATTTCTCTGAAAAAACGGAGTCCACATATTTCCGTATCTCGATGACTGTCTAGTCAAAGGCCTCTCCAGAGTTAAGTGGAAGCTGACATCTGTCTCATCCAATCGGCCTTCAATACACTGGGCCTCTTACTGAATGAACTAAGAAGTCTACCCTTATCCTGGTCTAAAGGATAGAGTTTAGTGGGGCTGTGACACTGTATGGAATCTGGGGGACACTTTAGGATATTATGAATACCAATATTGTAAAATTGCCATGAGTTATGCCAGATATACCATGTAAGGTATCTGCAAAAATGTTATAATTTGCCAGGTATGATAATCTCATTTATGTATTTGTATAACCTTTGCACTGTACATTATATGTGCCAGATGGGCAGGAATATAGAAAATTTTATAGTGGGGAAGGCATTTTAGACAAGAAGGACTTAGAAATTCTGTTGGTGCGAGAAACAGTACTGAGAATGAAACAATGTCAAATGTTTTCTAAGGTAAACTTTGGTGTTTCTCTCAAAGAAAATCCCCATTGGTAGGAACTGAATCTGATTTGCTTATCTCCAGCCATCAATGTCCTCTGAATGTGAGGAGCAAGACACGTGGAACTTTTGCACACACACACAGTGCCTCCAAGTCCTGCCCCTTCCTTGGGACATCAGTTCAGATGCCATGTGTTCCTTTCCCTTCCTGTCTCGTGTTGCCAGGATCCAGGTTCAGCACTTGCAATGGGCATGAAGTCACTGCCTGGGATAAGGTGGTCCATTAACAAGTAACCAAGGCAGAGGCACTGGAACGGGGGGAGCTGGGAGGCCATTGCCCCGTGACTTTTTTTACCTGCCTTAAGTGCGAGTGACAGGGAGAAAGGGTCGGAGAGGAGCAAGCAGGGATGGGGCCTCATGGGAAGAGGCGGAGCTGAGGAGGAGTGGAGCAGGGGGTCAGGCCTGGTGGAAGGGGCAGAGTGGGGGCTTTGTGGGAAAGGAGCGGGGGATGGGGGCCAAAGTTCAGGCGCTGGTGGGCCCTCCCCACTTCTATGGAGCTTCCGGTGTTCCTAAACCAAGGTTAGCAAACAATGAGGCACAATCTATTTAGACTATTAAGTTTTGCAGTAGCTGCCAGCAGGAAACTGTGCAAATGAAACAAAATCTGGTTTAGCTAAGAACAAAAATAATATTCAGATATCATCTCTAAATTATTTTGGCCACCTCAGGGCAAATTTATGTGTGAAGTAGGAAGAGAGTTAAATAATGGCTTTGCCTTGTTTTGCTAGTGATAACATAATTAAAGTGTTAGCTATTTCAAGTTGCTACTAATGCCCTGCACCTCAGACAAGGTGCTGGGCTATAACTACCCCTGTATGGATGCTGTGTGCATGAACTATAAGGTTCCTACTTGATATTAATGTAGTCCTGTTTGAAGAGGACTACATGAAAGCAAATTAGGAATGCTTTTAGTTTGCACTCACACAGCCCATAGAGGGGAGTTACAGCCCAGCACTTTGGTGTGCATAGTTCTTCACACATCCCCATAGTCAGACATGTGGGCAGTGTAGACATGGCCTTAGTCCAGAGAGCATGGGAGTGAAATTACTCCAATTCTTAACTGCCCTTATAACTACCAATAAAACGAACAATGGGATTTCCTTTTACAAGTGATTGCTGATAAGTTTGTCAACTGGATGAAAAAATTGTCAAACAACCTGCAGCAGATGAGGCAATATCTTTTATTGGCCCAGCTTCTGTTAAGACAAGCTTTCAAGCTCTTCTTTCACCAAGAGAAGTTGGTCCAATGAAAGACATTACCTCATCCACCTTCTCTTTCTAATAGCTCCTGGGACCAACACAGCTACAACAACACTGCAAACAACATAGCAGATGAGTCGTATTTACTAAATGGCAGAAAATTAGTAGAATTTAGGCCGAAATATTAACTGAATAAGTTTTCTGTGAGTATTGCATTGAATAGTTCATCTCACCATGAAATTATCATGGGCTATGTTCTGGTTCCAAGGTGAGCTTTTTCTTTTGACTTCTCTCTTTGTTTCCTCAAAGGGCACCCCTTCCACAGGCTCAAGCTTGTACTTTTCTTGCGGCAGAGTCTTGTGATTTCTCCCTCCTTTCTCCCCCAAACACACACTCTTTGAGAGTGTCACCAAGTTACAGTTCCTCTGTTTACCAACCATGTCCTCAGCAGGGCCAAAATGATTCCCCTTTGTCCCAGACATTCCCCAGCATTAGGCTGCATGAGGCAGACTGCAGCCCTACAGCCTCTGCTTCTGGCTGGCTGGCCCTCAGTCAGCATCTCCTGCCTCTTCAGAGGCTCAGCTTTTAACTGCTTTCCATCTCCTTATGACTTGCTGTCTGAAACTCCCTGAGGTTTGAAACTGTGATCTGTCTTTCCTTGCAGTTGGGGCCAACTACAGCTGTTGTCTAATACAACAGCATAGATTTTGGCCATGATGCAGCAAGATACTGAAACATATAAACAGTCCCTTAATTGATGTTAAGCATGTGCTGGATTGGGGTCAGATTGCTGTTACAATGGGTTAGCCAGAAATGTGTTAGCTAAAACATTGTAACAACATACCTTTAAGTCCAAGTCAAGTCAAACCCTCTGAAAGTCTCCAGTAGCTCACTACCCAGGAGAGAAACAGTGCATTAAAGACAGAATTATCTTACTAGCCAAGCGGACAGTGTTTGAACCACAACTCCAGAGCCATGCAATAAATGATAGGAGATCATTCATCTGTGACTGAATAATGAAACTATGAAACTAAAGATTAAGTTAGATAAATTTATGGAGGGAATGGTTTAAGGGGATAACGTGATTTTAGTCAAAGGAACAGCGTGCCATGGCAGGTAAATAGTATAATGGCTAATGAGGGTGAGGCTGGAGAATCTTGCCTATGTGCTCGGGGTTTTACTGATCGCCATATTTGGGGTCGGGAAGGAATTTTCCTCCAGGGTAGATTGGCAGAAGCCCTGGAGGTTTTTCGCCTTCCTCCGCAGCAGGGGGCAGGGATCGCTGGCAGGAGGATTCTCTGCTAATTGAAGTCTCTAAGCCACAGGATTTGGGGACTTCAACAGCAGAGTCAAGGGAAAGGGTAGGGACGGCTTTGTGGCCTGCATCATGCGGGAGGTCAGACCAGATGATCATAATGGTCCCTTCTGACCTTAAAGTCTATGAGTCTATTCCAAATTCTACAGTCTGTGGAGAGAAAAAACTCCCAACTTAATTAAAAGCATTACTTGAATAAGGACTGCATGATTGGCTCTATTGTTCGTCACCATCCCATTGTATGACAGAAGTCACCAAGCTAATTCCAGCTGAACAGAAACTATGTTTTGCACTTGCATACAGCTAGGCATGCTTGTGTATTTTTTAAATAAATAAATAAATAAGTTGTCCTTGGAAGTGGATGAGATTGAAGTTTGAAAATGAGAATTGCTGCAGGACCTGAACATAGATTTTATAATAGCTAATGACACATAATCTGGCTCCTAACTTCCTGCTGAGTGCTCAGTCATCAACCTTCTTTATTTATGAAGAAATTTTTGGTTGGTCTTTTCAGAAACTCCAAGTAATACTTTACAGAATATGAAACTTTAGTCTAATTCAGTCAAATAAAGCCTTTGTCCTTACCTCCTGTGTATTCTATTGCATTTCTGTTATAGACTATTTCACTCTCATTTCAATAGAGGCCTTTAGTCTGTCTTCTCCCGGTGATCTTTACATCTTCATCATCTCCTTCTTTATCTGTCTTCTGTCTCTGGTGCACCTCACTGTTAGCTCCTTGTCTGGACCTCACTCCTGTTAGGATAATAGTTAGTTCAGTTTCCCTCAATTTACTAACTGGTCTTTTGGTTTTCACTCTTCTTTTCTTGTCTGCTAAATCCTGGTTACACTCTAACTTCACACTACTGAATGCTTCAAAGACTGAAGTTTTTGCTTTTGGGTACAAAAGGTACCGCTTGTTCAACATCTCTGAATCCACTATCATTCTCTCGAACTCAGATGTGAGCTTTTCTCCAAAGGCTAGAAGTTTTCGAACTATCCTAAGTCTCTTACTTTCTTTTACTTCCACATCTCCTTTGTCTGTCAATCTGTCCATTAGCTCTGATTTCCTAAATTTGTCCTAGTGTATAACCGGTAAAGAATCTCAATGAAGGCGAACTTACGGTTGCAGTTACGTTGTCAAAATGCTTCTTTATCAGTCTCCAAATCAACTCCATAACTATTCTCCTGGCTTTCAAAAATCTCCATGGACTTACTCCATCCACCCTATTTCCTTGACCTCATATCACTTCATCCTCCGCCTGCTCCTTTCTGTCTCTTCCTCTCAGACGGAGAGTTCTCTTTTGCTTACACTGCATCATCTGTCTGGAACTCTCCGAATAAGTGAGTCACTTCCATACCTTAGATCTCGCCTTAAAACCCTCTCTTTTTCTCGTGATTAAGGCCACTGGAAATCTGTATCTCAGAAAAAAATCTACAGAATCCTGTGCATTTGCTGTTCTCCACTGGAAAGGCCATAATCTCCTACTGGGACTCTTGTGAGATGTTTTAATTCTCATGTTTCTAGCTGAATGTTCCCTGGTACTCCATGGCTTATTGTTTGACTTCCAATACTTGGGAGCTGAGCAGAACCCTGTCACTGAAATGAGCTTTCCAGCACTTTCCTCCCTTACTTATGGCAATTGAAATCAATTCTATCATGATCATTAGCTGGTAGGGAGGAACCAGTTGCTACAGATATTTTGCAGAAACCATTTGATAAAATTTCTGTGAATTTTCTATGGAATTTAAAGCTCATCATATTTTATCTGTGGAACGTCAGTTCACTATTTATATTCTGTTTTCTGCAAATCTGTGCACAGAGGACATATTATAAACAAGTTGTATTGTACTTCAGTCTTCAGCTGCTTGCCCATAGTAATAGCACTATTTTTTTTCATAGTAATTTTAAGGACAGCTAAAGGTCTTTGATGGGTTTAAACAATTATAAATATAAGCCCTGATTAATATTTGCCTGCAGACATCTTCAGCTATTTTGTTTTTTCAAATGATATAGGGACACGTTCTTGTCAGTATTCTGTTTCTTTTGCACCACTCAGAAGGCACAAAGAGCAGAGACTGGCCGTAACCCTCTTGCTGAGGGTTCTCTTGGTATGGGGAACCTCTCGGGTTAGCTCCTTTGCCATTCTCCCTGTACCAGGGAGAATGTTAGAGGGAGTGGCTGGACCATAATGTATCCTGTCTCTCTCCAGCTGGTGGGTGTCTCTTGGGAAACATAGCCAGGTACCTGCTGCATGTTAGAGCAGCCTCAGCCAGGTAGAGAGATCAGGGAGCCAACCAATCATGTCTGGAGTGGCTCACAACCGTGAGTGGCTACCTAAGAGCAAACTGGTGGTATGTTTTATAATTAGACTTCACCAACCCAGTACTAAACATGAACTCCTGGGATCACTATAACAATCTTGCCATGGAGTCACAGACAGTCCCCTGAGACTGTCTGTAACGCCAACAGACCCTGGTCATCGGCAGGTGCGATCGAACCTGGCACCTCTGGAGCTAAATGCATGAGCCTCTACTGCATGAGCAAAAAGTCACATGGCTGTAGAGCAGACTCATTAATCTCTCTAAGTGGTCTCAGTGCTACTATATGAGACAGAACACCAGACCCAGGAGGTGTGTGGATTACACTCTCCAGTCTATCGTGCCACCCAGGCAAGTTGGGCTTGGTGACAAATGGTCACTTACACCAAAAGTCACAAAATACTCAAGAGAATAGTCACTTACCCCAGATCAATTTGTATCTTAGATCTCACACCAAAGACAAAGCCTGTAGCCAGTCCTGTAATAAAAGAACTAAAGGTTTATTAATTAAGAAAAAGAGATGAGTTATTTACAGGTTAAAGCAAGCAAACATATACACACTCATGAGTTACCATATATGGTTCCTAAAGATGAGAGAGATTTGGTAATATGTCAATTCAAAGTGTCTTTCATGGCAGAAGTAGTGGCAAACCCTGGGGATCTCTGCCTTAGTTTAATGTCTCTGGCCCTCTGAGAGTTCAAACAGCAAAGAGATGAAAAATCTTTGTCAACTATTTTTATTTCCTTCTTCCAGTATTTAAACCGATGGGATGAGGCACATAGTTCTCCATGGGTGGATGGGTCAATTAATAGAGCTTTTGTCTTATAATGTCCACTTAATTTTTGATAGTTCTCCTGGATTGGGGGGCGGGGACAGTTCCCATGCCTGGGTTCACAAGTGCAGAGCAAACATTTTCAAAGTTATAAAGCAAAATGTACATAGTTCCTTATAGCATGGAATACAGATATTACAAGTGCGATTAATTCATGCAGCAATTTACAAGCATTTCATAGTGTAAACACTAAATGCGTTCTTATAAAACATATCCGTTTTGAACAAAAATAACATATAGGTGAGCTGGTTTGGCTTCCAGTTATGAGTTCATCAGTTCTTAGCTAAAGCCTATGGCCTTGGCCAGAGCTGGCACTTGGTTTACCAGCATCACACCCCAATTCTCTGCTGCACCCAATGAAAGGGGACCCAGCAGACAATCTGCCCCATAGTTTCTAGTCTGAGATTTTTTTTTAAATGTTAAAGGAACTCCCCCCTCATCCCCCCACCTCATATTCACCAGCTGATAGTCTGGTAATGTTAGCAGTAATTACTTCCCCTGCTGTTTCAATCTCTGAAGTGTGTTACCCATACACACATTCTCCGCTTCTCCCTACAGCACACATTGTCCCCATCCCATGAACATACTCATGCACTTGATTTTAGTTGTCCCAATCTACGAACCTGCCTGTTTATGGCAGATTTAGACATAAAGAATTGAAAGCATTTGCATGAAAATGTTAAGAGGTGCTGGAGAAGGTTGGGGATGCACACCAACAATAATAAATTAGCTGAAAATAAATAAGGAGCAGGTTTTGAAGTCTGACAAATTACCGTATATAAACACACCGAAAACTACTATTAATGGAAACAAAAACATTGTTATTAAAGCTGAACACTGCCATTCAATTAGCTGCAAACTGTTAGTGTCATGCAACTAGTCTGTATAACCAAAAGGTGGCAGCATTTCTTTCAATATTCACAAGGAACAGCTCTTTCAATTACCCATTCTTTTTCAAGCTCATCCTAATAAAACAAATTTTACCCTGTATGATTCCTAGTCTATTTGAATGCCATATGCAAAATGACATCAGGTGTGAGAAGTAAATATTGTTTAGCACCAGGAACATAAAAACATCCAGTGTATCTCAACAATAGACAATACACAGCAGGATGCATAAGGATACATTTTCCAAAGCAGTGTATAAGAGTTTTATACAGCAGTCATATCATTAGTTAACAGAATTTCTGTAGCCCTTTTGCTCTCTACCTCAAAGATTGCCCTCAAATAACAATGTTAATAACAAAGTTATAAATAGCAGTGTATAGTCAAAAATTTATTTTTCCCTTAAAAGACTTGTGTGGTACAGGACAAGGCAGGTAGTTGTGTATTGGAGGATTAAACTATTTAACAATCTAAACTGCAAACTTTATCTAGTCACAGATGAGTGGAATGAAAATGTTCCCTACAGGAAATATTGGACAATTGAAGTTACCAAAAGACAGCTAATAAGGAGCTATAAAATATATGGAATAATCCAGTCAATAATACTAAATTCTAAAAAAAAATTAACCAGGAAAGACCACTTGAGGCAAGAGTCTCTTTTACAAGAGTATCCTGGCAAGAGGGGCAGCATAACAGTCAATTATTACAAACAAAATCCAGGTTTCTTAATTAAAATACAAAATACTGGCTCTGCTGTGTAGCCTGTAATAAGTTATGTCCTGAGAAGACTGTAATTATACTGGCGCCTGCTAGTGCCGCCATAGTTAAGTCTGTCACCGTTTCCATTATAAACCCCATTTTTAAGCAATTTATAACTCAGCCGTAAAAAATCATTCTGGACTGAAACTTGGCATGGAAGGTTTCAGACCAAGAAGTTTTTAGGGTTTTGTATTTGTTTTTGTTGAAAAAAAAATGTGGTTGGTCATCTTTATATTTTTTTTAGGAGCGCACTTAACAAACCAGAAATTTTATGGTTTCAGAAGCTTTCTATCCATCCTGTAACATAAACATAGTTGCTTTTTAAAACTGCATCTGTTCATAAACTGGACTAGAATCCTTCACTGCTTCTTACATAGGATTTTACCTCTTCAGAGATCCACACATACATGAAAACAGACCTCACAATACCCCTGAGAATGGAGAGGTATGAATATTGCCATTTTACAGATGGTGAAACTAGGACAAAGAGAGTTTTCAGTAGTAACTCAAGGCCACATAGCAAGTCATTGTATGAGCCAGGATTGGAACTCAAGAGTTCCTGTCCCTCAGGCACATGGTCAGTCAATCAAACAGCACTGCCTGACTTAAATTCCAAATTATTATTGATCAAGTGACTTGTGACATTCCGCAGCCTATGTAGAACAATATCCAGGGAAGATAAGATGATTGATTGATTGGTACAACCTCCTACCTCTGTACTCTCTGGGCCCTCACTGGAGACTGGTGTTGGCCAGATTCCAATGGCAGAAGGGTTGCAAGCTGGTTGTGCTTCCATTATTGGAGAAGTGCCTGTTATGGCTGTCATGGAAACAAAAAGGCTGAGGTTTCTTTGCAGCTCACTGGCCTCCATGTAGTCTCCATGCCCTAGCCCTTGTGCATCGCTGCTGAGCCCATAGAACGGGGAAGGAGAATACTTTTCCAAGGCCACACATTACAATGCTGTGGAATATCATCATTAATTTGTTCCTGTGCAGACTTTTACACAGCCAGGGAACGTAGGGCCCACTGACAGAATATTCTAGTATGGTTGTACTCTGAAAAGAGACTCTGAAAAGATTAGACCTACTTCCTGAGTGTACTCATAATTTCTGCTCACTCTGCTAGCACTCCAACCCAACATTGCTGCTGGACATGAGCTATACCTACTTGTGCATTATCAATGGAATCGTTAATTAAGTTTCCATTGCATAACCTGCTCTCCTTGATGAGGCATGAACAGACAAAACCCAGTTTCATTTTCAGATCCAAGGCTCCATTTGCAGGAAGGCAGTTAATTAACAGGCAAAGATACTTTTCTGGATCAATTTGATCTGCAATCATTGAGGCAACAGGGAAACCCCTGAAGCCAGTCACTTTTCAAAGTAGAAATGCTTTTTAAAGTCTCAGTCTAGGATTTTTTTTACATGTATATGGTAGGACTGTCAAGCGATTAAAAAATTAATCACGATTAATTGTATTTTTCAGTTCACCTCATAGAAGTACTGTAGTGCAATCTCTTTATCATGAAAGTTGAACTTACAAATGTAGATTTATGTACAAAAAAAGCTACGTTCAAACACAAAACAATGTAAGACTTTAGAGCCTACAAGTCCACTCAGTCTTACTTCTTGGTCAGCCAATCACTCAGACAAACAAGGCTGGCTACAATTTGAAGGAGATAATGCTGCCTGCTTCTAATTTACAATGTCACCTGAAAGTGAGAACAGGCGTTCACATGGCACATTGCAAGATATTTACGTGCCAGATGCGCTAAAGATTCATATGTCCCTTCATGCTTCAACCACCATTTCAGAGGACATGCTTCCATGCTGATGAGAGGTTCTGCTCGATAACGATCCAAAGCAGTGTGGACTGACACATGTTCATTTTCATAATCTGAGTCAGATACCACCAGCAGAAGGTAGATTTTCTTTTTTGGTGGTTCGGGTTCTGTAGTTTCCACATCAGAGTGTTGCTCTTTTAAGATTTCTGAAATCATGCTCCACACCTCATCCCTCTCAGATTTTGGACGGCACTTCAGATTCTTAAACCTTGGGTCAAGTGCTGTAGCTATTTTTAGAAATCTCACATTGATACTTCTTTGCATTTTGTCAAATCTGTTGTGAAAGTGTTCTTAAAATGAACATGTGCTGGGTCATCATCAGAGACTGCTATAACATGAAAGATTGCAGAATGCAGGTAAAACAGAGCAGGAGACATACAATTCTCCCGCAAGGAGTTCAGTGACTAAGTAATTAATTCTTTTAAAGAGCATCATCAGCATGGAAGCATGTCCTCTGGAATGGTGGCCGAAGCATGAAGGGTCATACAAATGTTTAGCATATCTGGCATGTAAATACCTTGCAATGCCGGCTACAAAAGTGCCATGCGAACACCTGTTCTCAGTTCTAGGTGACACTGTAAATAAGAAATGGGCAGCAGTATCTCCCATCAATGTAAACAAACTTGTAAACTTGTTTGTCTTAGTGATTGACTGAATAAGAAGTAGGACTGAGTGGACTTGTAGGCTCTGAAGTTTAAAATTGTTTTGTTTTTGAGTGCAGTTATGTAACCAAAAAAAATCTGCATTTGTAAGTTACACTTTCACGATAAAGAGATTGCACTTCAGTACTTGTATGAGGTGAATTGAAAAATACTATTTCTTTTGTTTACAAATATATGCACTGTAAAATGATCATCAGAAATAATAATATAAAGTGAGCACTGTGCACTTTGTATTCTGTGTTGTAATTGAAATCAATATTGAAAATGTAGAAAAACATCCAAAAATATATTTAATAAATTTCAATTGTTATACGTGTGATTAATCATGATTAATTTTTTTGAGTTAATCGCATGAGTTAAATGCGATTAATTGACAGTCCTAGTACATGGACATGCTGCGGTTCTTCCATGACGCACAGCTCATACCCACTAAAATGCCAGGTCAACAGCACTGAAGTTTGTGAGGCTATAGAAATATAAATAAGGGCAGATCTGT